CAAGAACCTGCTGCAGGAGCGGAACGAAGTACGGCCGAGGCCGCGCGGCAGCTCCAAACTCAGCAGGGACAGCACCACCACCCTAAGCAACAGCACCAGCGCCACCCACACCTCCAGCGGCAGGACCAACAGCAGTAGGCTCAGCACCAACGCCCTCAGCAGTTCCAGCTCCAGGAGGACCCGCAGGTCCAGCAGCTCTGGGACCGGCAGCACCCGCACCCTCGACGGTCGAAGAAGCTCCAGCTCCAGCTCCAGCAGCACCTCCAGACGCAGCAGCACGCCTCCAGCGCCGAGTGAACCACTCGCGCAGCTCCTGTGGAGAGAGGGGCTCCCGGCGAGACGCAGCAGGAGGAGAAACCCCAGGCTCAGCAGCTCCAGACGCAGCACCCCCAGGCTCAGCAGCTCCCAGCACAGCACCCCCAGGCTCAGCAGCTCCCGACCCAGCACCCCCAGACCCAGCACCTCCAGGCACAGCACCCCCCGGCTCAGCACCCCCAGGCTCCGCACCCTCCGCAGTAGCCCCCTCAGGCCCAGCACCCCCAGCAGTAGCACCCCCAGGCTCAGCACCCCCGCGCACAGCACCCCCAGAGTCAGCACCCCCAGGCTCAGCACCCGCAGCAGCACCAGAGTCACCAGTAACCTCGACCGGGTCAACGGCGTCTACGTGGGACACACCTGAGGGGGCAGGAACCTGAGGGGGGAGGGGGTCTACCGGGGGGGGAACCGGCACAAGGAAGTCCGGGGGAGGGGGGAGGGAAGGAGTGCGGTAGGGGAAGAGACGGTAGAAGGGGACTGACTCGTCGAACGTGACGTCCTGGGAGGACAGAACACGACGAGAGGAGGGGTGGTAAAACTGCCACCCTGGGGCGTCAGTGGGGAAGCCAAGGAAGACACAGGGAGCAGCACGAGGGGACAGCTTGTCCGCAGACAAGTCGCGGACAAACGCTCGAGATCCCTAGACACGGAACGCAGACGCATCGCCAACCTTCCCCGTCCACAGCAAGGCTGGGGACATCGCAGGCCGAGAGACCCGGGGGTGAAGGTTGAGCTGATGCGCCGCGTACCTCACCGCAAACGGCCACAGAAAATGGGGGGCAGCCGCATGCATCATGGACGTACGAGCGACATCCATGACCATGCCAATGCGGCGCTCAGCAATCCCATTTTGCTGTGGTGAGTCCGGAAGCGTGAAGGTCTGGCGGATCCCCCGTGCACGACAGTAGTCTCGCAGAAGGCGAGAAGAGAACTCTCCGCCTCTGTCAGAGTGCAGACGCAGAATAGGAAAGTCCGAGCCGAAGCTCTTCCTGAGCTGGAGACGAGCCTCGCGGATCCAGTCGATCAGCACCTCAGTGACCGCACCCTTGCTGCGCAAGGGGAGGACTGTGGTGTAATGCGAGTAGTCGTCAACCACCAACAGGAAGTAGCGCTCGTAACCCTGCCCACGGACGGGGGCTGGGCCCCACACATCCATGTGAAGCGTCTGCAGGGGAGCCTCTGTCGGGGGGAAGTGGGAGGAGTGAGGAGTAGCCCGGAGGCGACCCTCGACACAGGGGACACAGGAAGGTCCTGGCCCGGAGGGGAGAGGAGGAAGAGACTGGGGAAGACCAGAGACAAAGACACGGGAAGCCATGCTCCGAAGACGGGGCAAGGAGGGGCGGCCAAGACGGTGGTGCCACAGGAGAGTCTCGTGAGACAGGAGGCGACAAGAACAGGGGGCAGACTCAGGACCTGACCGGGACGCAGCAGCAAGTACCTGACCCGACGCAGCCACCTGACCAGACGCAGGGACAGGAGGAGACTCAACGGTCAGGGTGTAGAGACTCGACCCCGGCCGACGCGAGAACGTGGCCAGGTGTCGGCCTGTGCGTGCCTCCGTGCAGTGGGTCACCCGCTGACTCGCAGGAGTGAACTGGTGAACCCCCACATCCTGCAGGTCCGCTCCACTCACCAAGTTCGTAGAGAACGAGGGAAGGTACAGACCAGACAGGGTGCCCGAAGGGGCAGCCGGACACGGGAGGACAGTGGAGAAGTGAGACAGGACAGGACCCCCAGAGGGGTCAGCAAGGGAGACCGCAACCGGCCGGCCGAGCGGCGTAAGGGTAGTGCGGTCTCGAAAGAAGGAGCGAGAAGCCCCGGAGTCAAGTGTGAAAGTGAGGGAGGACGAGGACGACGCAGTACCTGAGAGCGCAGTCTCACCAGTACCTGAGAGCACAGACGCACTGGCACCTAGAGCAGCAGCCTCACAAGCACCTAGCGCAGCAGTACCAATGCCCAGGTCGGGCTGGAAACACCGGTAACCCTCATTCTCCTCACTATAATCCACAGCATACATAGCAGCAAGGATAGCATCAAAATCAAGATCTCACTAGCCCCAGGGAACTGCTGACGCCAAGCGTTCGTCAGGCGGCCAAAGCAGCGCTGGGTGGCGTGGGCACCCCCACACTGCTCACCCGCGCGGTCGCCGGAACGAAGAACGTAGGTGCAGGGACCAGTACCCCCACCCCTCTGACGCCCAGCGTACCACTCACGAAGCTGCTGAGGCGGAGGGATGTCCCGCGAGCGCTGCTGCTGCTGCCGCTGCGAGCGCTGGCCACCACCACCGCCGCTACGCTGCTGGGTACCACCTCGACCAGCTCCACCTCCTCCACTACCACCGCCTCCTCCGCTGCCGCCTCCACCGCCTCCACCTCCGCCGCCTCCACATCCGCCGCTGCCTCCACCACCACCGCTGGCACCACCACCTCCGTCTCCGCCGCTGCTGCCACCACCACCACCACCCCCGCCACTAGTTCCGCCGCCACCCCCACTCCCTCCGCCGCCACCGCCGCCACCGCCACCGCCCCCTCCAGCTCCACCCGCGCCCTTGCCCCCCTTGCCCTTGCTGGAGCGACGTCTCCCACTAGGGGTAGACGCCGGGCCGACCGACTCAAGACCAAGCAGGTCGGCAGCAGCAGCAGAGGCAACAGAGGGCAGCAAGGGGGAAGGAGAGCACCCCTCAAAGATGGGGGTGCGAGGGTCACCACGAGAAGCACCTACAGCGACTATGCTCTTCTCCGCTGCGAGGAGGGCTTTCTCGAGGAGGTCGACAGTGAGGGTGGTGGGACAGACTGCGAGAAAGTGGTCCCTGACGACGCGAAGGGAGTCAGGGAGGCGCGCGACTACGTAGTAGAGAGCGATGTACATGGGGGGTGGGTTCTTAGCGCAGAACTCAGCAGGAAGGGCGGCGCGGTAGCGAGTGTCACTAGTGCGGAGGTGCGTAATGAGGTCAGCAACAGTGGGAAAGGCAGAGAGGTCAGGAAAGAGGTAGGGAAGCATGAGACGGCTCAGTGCAGCAGTGGCAGGGGAGGAGTAGCGCGCAACTACAGCGTCGTACAAGGTCTGAGCACTCTTGTACTGACTAAAGTGCGCACGCTCAGAGGTAGGGAGGTGGCGACGCACAGCAAGACGTGCAGCAGCATCGCGGGTGGCCCACTGAGAGCGGACAGTGGGATCAGCATCAGCAGCAGGAGCAGGAGAGGCGCCAGAGGTGAGGTCAAAGAGAGAAAGGTCGTCAGCCCTGTCGCACTGTAAGAACAGCTGCAGGTCGTCTAACCAGACCTCAAAATCAATGGCGCGACCCTCAGCGTCAAAAGCTAGGACACTAGGGGTAGCCATGGCGACGACAGCGACGCAGTGCAAGCAGTAGGGAAAGAGCTCGCAGTGTCAGTGGGACTGTGCTCACCAGGCAGGGCAGGTCGTGCAGCTCTGCAGAAAGGCGGCTCAGCGACCGGGCGGCTCGGGTGCACAGTGGCTCGGCTCCCGGGCGGCTCGGCGGCTGGGCGGCTCGGGCGCAGGGCGGCTCGGCTCCCGGGCGGCTCGGCGGCAGGGCGGCTCGGGTGCAGGGCGGCTCGGCTCCCGGGCGGCTCGGCGGCAGGGCGGCTCAGGTCCCGGGCGGCTCGGCGTTGGGCGGCTCGGCTCCCGGGCGGTTCGGCTGCTGGGGCGGCTCTGCTGCTGGGGCGGCTCGGCCGAAAGATGCAGGGGCGGGGCCGTCAGGTGCAGCGGCGGGTCGACCGGTGCAGCGGCGGGCCGGCAGGTGCAGCGGCGGGTCGACCGGTGCAGCGGCGGGCCGGCAGGTGCAGCGGCGGGGCCGTAGGGTGCAGCGGCGGGCCGACCAGGTGGGGCGGCGGGCCGTAGGGTGCAGCGGCGGGCCGTAGGGTGCAGTGGCGGGCCGGCAGGTGCAGCGGCGGGGCCGTCAGGTAAAGCGGCGGGCCGCTGGGTGCAGCGGCGGGCCGGCAGGTGCAGCGGCGGGCCGGCAGGTGCAGCGGCGGGGCCGTCAGGTGAGGCGGCGGGCCGTAGGGTGCAGCGGCGGGCCGTAGGGTGCAGCGGCGGAGCCGGCGGTGGGGCCGCGTCAGTGGAGGCGGCGGGGCCGCGACGAAGCGGGCGGCAGGGCCGCGTCAGAGCCGGCGGCGGGGCCGCGCCAAGCAGGCGGCGGGGCCGCGATCAGGAGGGGTGGCGGGGCCGCGTCTGAGGGACAGCGGGGCCGCGAAGGAAATGGCGACCCGAGGGGTCGCTAAAAAAAAAAGGCGCGCCTCGGGGCGCGCTTCGGTGGGCCCTAAAAAAACCATCCTAAGGAAGGACCCGCTCTATACCATGTGAAAGAAGTGAACAGGGATGAAAATGACTAAGTCAGAGTTGGGTACAAATACAACCCTAGAAAGCTGTACCCCATATGTGCTACCCCACTATAGCCTACAAACATGCATCAGCTATAATACTCTGACACCGAGCCGCCCAGCAGCCGAGCCGCCCAACAGCCGAGCCGCCCAATAGCCGAGCCACCCAGCAGCCGAGCCGCCCAGCAGCCGAGCCACCGAGCCACCGAGCAGCCGAGCTGCCCTGCAGCCGAGCTGCCCAGCCGCCGAGCCGCCGAGCCACCGTCGAGCCGCTACTGATCCTACCGGCGCGCCCCGGCCCTACTCACTCGGACTGGTGAGATCACTACCTGCTAGACCACTGCTGTCATGGCGACCCCCGGTGTCCTTACCTTTGATGGTGAGGGTCATGCTGTTGACTTTGAGGTCTGGGTTGATGACCTCCAGCTGTTCTTCCAAAGCGATCGCGCAGACGGACTCTCCCTGTTCGATCTCACCTCTAGTGCCTCTTTTGCCCCGCCTACTACTGCTTACAGCACTGTTCGCTCACAGCGGGCCACACGCGATACTGCTGCCCGTCTTGCTGTGCGTCGCCACTTACCGACCACTGAGCGTGCGCACTTTAGTCAGTACAAGATTGTTATGACCTTGTACGACGCTGTAGTTGCACGCTACTCTTCCCCTGCCACTGCTTCTCTTAGCCGGCTCATGCTGCCGTACCTGCTCCCTGACCTTGCTGCCTTTCCCACAGTCGCTGACCTCATTACGCACCTTCGCACTAGTGACACTTTCTACCGCGCTGCGCTTCCTGCTGAGTTCTGTGCCAAGAAACCCCCCCCATGTACATCACCCTCTACTACATAGTCACCCGGCTCCCTGACTCCCTTCGTTTAGTCAGGGACCACTTCCTCTAAGTTTGCCCCACCACACTCACCGTTGACCTCCTCAAGGAGCGCCTCCTAGCAGCGAAGAAGAGCATAGTTGCTGTAGGAGCCTCTCGTGGTGACCCTCGCAGCCCCGTCTTTGAGGGGTGTTCCCCCTCCCCCCTCTTGCCCTCTGTTGCTTCTGCTGCTGCGGCCGACCTCGTTGGTTTCGAGTCGGTCGGCGCTGCGTCTGCCCCTAGCGGGAGGCGCCGCACCGGCAAGGGCAAGGGGGGCAAGGGCGCTGGAGGGGCTGGCGGGGACGGTGGAGGTGGTAGTGGAGGCAGTGGAGGGGGTGGGGGTGGTGGTGGGAGTGGTGGCGGGGGTGGAGGTGTCGGTGGCAGCAGTGGAGGCGGAGGAGGCGGCGGCGGTGGCGGAGGGAGCGGAGGCGGCGGAGGTGGCGGAGGCGGCGGAGGTGGTGGAGGCGGCGGAGGTGGCGGAGGCGGCGGCAGCAGCGGTGGAGCTGGTCGCGGCTCTGCGCAGAGGAGTGGTTCCGGTGGTGGTCCGCGCCAGCAGCAGCAGCGCAGTTGTGAGACCCGGTCCCCCCAGCAGCTTCGTGAGGGGTACGCGGGGCGTCAGCGAGGTGGGGGTACTGGTCCCTGCACCTACGTCCTCCGTACTAACGACCACGCTGGTGAGCAGTGCGGGGGGCCGCACTCCACCCAGCACTGCTTCGGCCGCCTAACAGACGCTTGGCGTCACCAGTTCCCTGACGCCATTGAGATCCCTCGCTGGGGAGATCTGTCTAGGGCGGGGGTTGCTATCTTTGATCTTGATTATGATGCTATTCTTGCTGCCATGTATGATGTGTTTACTAGTGATGTGGGTGACTGTTACCTATGTGTTCCGCCTGACCTAGGCATTGAGGCTGCTACTCTAGCTGCTGGTGAGGCTACTGCTCTAGGTGCTAGTGCGTCTGCTGCCCCAGGTGCTGGTGAGTCTGCTCTCTCAGGAACCACGTCGGCTCAGGCCTTACACATCTTCACCCTTGACTCGGGTGCTTCCCGCTCCTTCTTTCGAGACCGCACCACGCTTACGCCGCTTAATCGGCCGGTTGCGGTCTCCCTGGAGGACCCCTCTGGGGGTCCTGTCCTTGCTAGCTTCTCCACTGTCCTACCGTGTCCGGCGGCCCCCTCTGGCACCCTGTCAGGTTTCTACCTCCCCTCGTTCTCTACGAACTTGGTGAGTGGTGCTGATCTACAGGATCGGGGGGCTGACCAGTTCACTCCTGCGAGTCAGCGGGTGACCCACTGTACTTGTGCTCGGACGGGCCGACACTTGGCCACGTTCACCCGTCGGCCGGGGTCGAGACTATACACACTGACTACTGAGTCTCCTCCGGTTGCCGAGTCTGGTCAGGTAGCTGCGTCGAGTCAGGTGTTTGCTGCAACGTCCAGGTCAGGTCCTAAGTCTACTCCCTGCTCGTGTCGTCTCGTGTCCCACCAGACTCTCCTTTGGCACCACCGCCTTGGTCACCCCTCCCTGCCTCATCTCCGAGGCATGGCCTCCTATGTCCTTGTCTCTAGTCTTCCCCGGTCCCTCCCTCCCCTCCCTCCGAGGCCTGCCCCTACCTGCGTTCCTGTTGTGTGATGCAACCATACGCATTCACGTCTGTTTGCCTGCCATCATGTGTTTGTGCGTTGCATGCGTGGTGTGAGCGTGTGCAAGAAATTTGTGTCTTGTGTGGTTTGGATTTTGTGTGTGTGTGTGTGTGTGTGTATGTGTGTGTGTGTGTGTGTGTGTGTGTGTGTGTGTGTGTGTGTGTATGTTATTTGGCTTGAGCAAATATCTGAAGTGATTCTTCTACTCAAGAGCTTTCCGACGAACCAAGAATCGTCGCGATCGGAGCACAACCAAGAAAGTTAGGAACATTGGAGTTCGTATGCTTATATATTTTGGTTGCAGCTACTTTGGGAAGTTGTGGCATTGACTCAATATGGGGTACAGACTTGTGGGGGTTGGGAAATTCGAACCCATCACTGTAGATGCTGCCAAGAGGCTGGGTGAAGCCAAACCAGGTTGGTAAGTGTGGCCAAGTTGTGGTGAGGTGGATGGCATGGGTTGGAAAGTGACAAAGGTCAAAGTTTGTTGCCTATGGGGAAGGGAATTTTGTGGCATGGGGTTTCCTTGGTTGGGGACTCTCTCTTGGGACCTTCCCTCTCGTCCTCCTCTTCCCCTCCTACCAGGTTTAGTGCTTCTCTAATGTTCTTTTGTGGGACTTGTGAGTTAATTGTGATTGAGTTAAATTTCTGTGGCAGCATACCCCCTAATGCGCCAAAAAGCATAGCTCAAGATATGATTCAAATTGGGAAATGTAGCCACGGTCTAGGGCTACAACATATTCGAATTTCATGGGATTCAAATGTGAAGATTGAAACGAGAATGAATCAACTATGAAATGAGTGAGTACAAGTACTAACCCAAATTGGGTTGTACCCCCTATGGGATAATCCACTATAGCCTACACAAATATATAAGCTATACAGTATTCTGACACACCCCCATAGGCAAAATGGGGGAGAACAAGGGGTCACAAGACCAGTCAAGTAAAGCAAAGCAAAGAAAGCTCAGGGTGGATCACAAAGTCACCACACAGTCCGAGCACAGGGTCAAGGCCACACAGCCAGTTCACATGCAAGAGTACACACATATATATAAAGTTAGACAAGCAAGAGCAGGTATATATATATGTGAGAGTACAAGCAAGGTCAAGAGGAGAGCAAGTGAGGCAAGACGAGCACAAGACCCAGCTGAGTGCAGAAGCGCTGATGATCACAAGGCGGAATTGCCTTGGTGAAGACATCAGCAGTGTTGGCCTCAGAGGCCACGTACGCAAGCCGCAACTGTCCACGCTGCTGTAGCTCACGAGCAAGGAAGTAGCGGAGAGCAATGTGCTTTGTTCTGTGCTCCAGTCGCTGCTCTTGACACAAGGCCAGCATGGCCTTGTTGTCTACGTACAGGACTGGAGGAGAACGAGGCGGCTCTCCAAGGTCGGTCAGCAGGTAGGTGAGCCAGCGAAGCTCCTGTGCAGCCATGGCCCCCGCGTAGATCTCAGCCTCACAACTGGAGCCAAGAACAGAAGACGAGCGAGTAGCCCGCTACGAAACAGAGCCAGAACCAAGGCTGAAGGTGTAACACTAGGACGTCCGCTGCGTAGCCTGGTCGTCAGCCCAAGAAGCGTCTGCGTGCCCAGTGAGGACCACTGGACTCCGCCCTCCAAGCACTAGCCCCATGCCCGACGTACTGCACAAGTAGCGCAACACCCTCTTCGCTGCAGCCATCTGCTCTGGTCGGTGTCTCCCAGGAGCAACAAGGCGTGCAAGAATGCTAAGAAGGTATGCAAGGTCAGGTCGTATGCAGGTCATCAGGTACATGAGGCAGCCAACAACCTCTGGGTACGGACCACTCGACTCTACGGACTCATCCGAAGGCAAACCTGAGAGCGAGTGGCGAGTAGGCAGAGGAGTGGCCTGAGGCGAGGAGTATGTGAAGCCGAAGCGCTGAAGGACCTGCTGCACCATGTGTGACTGAGTCAGGGTAATGGTGCGGCGTGCTCTGTCCCGGGTGATCTGCAAGCCAAGGTAGCTGCGCAGTTCACCCAGGTCTGTGCACGTGTGTCTCTTCTGCAGCTCAGACTTCACATAGGCGAGTCCAGCAGTGTCAGCTATGGCAAAGACCAAGTCGTCGACGTACACGAGGATGTAGAACGGCGGCAGAGAGGTGTCGGTGCGCAGAAACAGCGACGGGTCAGCAATAGAAGGAGCAAACCCAAGAGCCGCAAGCGTAGTCCTCAGTGTGTCGTGCCACTCTCGTGGCGCCTGGCGGAGATTGTAGACTGGACGCCGGAGACTCCACTGGGTACCAGGAGGGAAAGACCCAGTGAAGCCAGGTGGGCGGCGTAGCCAGATCTCCTCGTGCAAGCTGCCCTGCAAGAAAGCAGTGCTAAAGTCGAGAGAGAGTGCAGCTCGTAGTCACGCTGAGCAGCAACGTGCAGCAGTATCCGAAGAGTGGTCATCTTCGGGGTGGGAGAGAAGGTCTGAAAGTAGTCAACTCCCTGCCGCTGACTGAAGCCACGAGCCACGTAACGCGCCTTGAAGACAGGCGGAGAACCCGGCAGCCGCTTCACCCTGAAAATCCACATGCCACTGACAATGTTCGCCCCAGGAGGGGGGACAGCGTCAACGTAGGTGCCTGTGGACTTCCAGGAAGCCATCTTTGCATGCATAGCTGCCTGCCACTGAGAGGAGTAGGGACCCTCTATCGCCTCCGCGTAAGAGCGCGGAGTCGGGATGTCAAGTGCATCCGGGTCTCCCTCAGGGGTAAGCAGTACGGACACGAGATGAGGTGAAGCAGCTGCCAGACAGTGGAACTCCTCCTGCCTGTCTTCAAGGACGTCCGTGCCAAGAGCACACTCACCCTCGACGAACGGAGGACAGACAGACTCAGACTCAGCGTCAAGACTAGCAGCGTAGTCTAGGCGACAGCGAGCAGCAAAGTCGACGAGCTCAGCAACTAGGGCAGACGCAACAGTGGACTCGAAAGAAGGGTCAGTGACGACAGTAGCCAGGAGACGCGTGACAGTAGGACTGGCAGCACGAAGAGAGTCCGACTCCGGGTCGGTAAGAGCAAGAAGAGAGGACTCAGGAGGAGAAGGCAAAGGGGCACGCATAGGAGCAGTGGACGGACGCAGAGACATCTTGTGCGTGCCAGGGACAGGAGGAGGTTGCGGACGCGAACCACGACCACTAGCGCGAGCAGCACGGACAGGCGTCGTAGGGCGAGACGCAAGCTCACGACGCTCAGCAAGACCCACAGTAGGACCAGTGTAGGGAGAAGGAGCAGGCAAAGGGGAGGTAGGCTGCAACTGTAACTGTGACGGGACAGGCTGTGGACACTCTAAGGGAGGAGGAGGACCAGTAGAAGGTGGAAGACCAAGAACCTGCTGCAGGATTGGAACGAAGTACGGTCGAGGCCACGTGGCGACGCCAAAAACAGCAAGGACAGCACCAGTACCTCCAGCAGGAGCACCCGCTCCAGCAGCACCTCCAGGAGCTCAAGAACCTCCAGCATCAACAGGAGCACCCCCAGCAGGACCGCCAGTGGTAGTCTCAGCGCCAACACCCTCAGCAGCACCAGCTCCAGTCGAACGTGCAGGCCCAGCAGCTCCAGTACTCCCAGGACGAGCACCTCTGGGACCCGCAACAGCAGCACCCTCAGTAGCCGACGAACCTCCAGCACCAGCAGCACGGCTCCAGCGCCGGGCAAACCACTCGCGCAGCTCCTGTGGAGAGAGTGGCTCCCGGCGAGACTAAGCACCCGGAGAACCTCCAGGCGGAGCACCTCCAGGCTCAGCACCCCCAGGCTCAGCACCCCCAGGCTCAGCACCCCCAAGCCCAGCACCCCCAGGCGTAGCACCCCCAGGCTCAACACCCTCAGCAGCACTAGAGTCACCAGTGACCTCGACAGGCTCGACTGCGTCTACCTGGTACACACCTGAAGGGGCAGGACCCTGAGGGGGGAGGGGGTCTACCTGGGGGGGACCTGGTAAAAGGAAGAGCGGGGGCGGGGGGAGGGACAGAGTGCGGAAAAGGAAGAGGCGGTAGTAGGGGACCGACTCGTCAAACGTGACGTCCTGGGAGGACAGAACACGGCGAGAGGTGGGGTGGTAGAACTGCCACCCAGGCGCGTCAGGGGGGAACCCCAGGTAGACGCAAGGAGCAGCACGAGGGGACAGCTTGTCCGCAGACAAGTCGCGGACAAATGCCCGAGATCCCCAGACCCGGAACGCCGACGCATCGCCAACCTTCCCCATCCACAGCAAGGCTGGGGAGGTCTCCGGCCTAGAGACCCTGGGGTGAAGGTTGATCTGATGCGCCGCGTACCTGACTGCAAACGTCCACAGAAAATGGGGGGCAGCCGCATGCATCATAGACGTACGAGCGACGTCCATGACCATGCCAATGCGGCGCTCAGCAATCCCATTTTGCTGCGGAGAGTCCGGAAGCGTGAAGGTCGGACGGATGCCCCGTGCGCGATAGTAGGCTCTCAGAAGGCCAGAGGAAAACTCTCCGCCTCTGTCCGAGTGCAGACGCAGAACAGGAAAGTCCGAGCCAAAGCTCTGCCTGAGCTGGAGACAAGCTGCGCGGATCCAGTCGATCAGCACCTCAGTGACTTCACCCTTGCTGCGCAAGGGGAAGACTTCGGTGTAACGCGAGTAGCCGTCAACAACTAGCAGGAAGTAGCGCTCGTGACCCTGTCCACGAACGCGGGCTGGGCCCCACACGTCCATGTGAAGCGTCTGCAACGGGGCCTCTGTCGGAGGAAACTGGGAGGAGTGAGGGGCAGCACGCTGGCGCCCCTCGCCACAGGGGACACAGGTAGGGCCAGGGCCCTGAGGAAGGGGAGGGAGGGACCGGGGGAGACCAGAAACAAGAAGACGAGAGGCCATGCTTCTGAGCCGAAGCAGAGAGGGGTGACCAAGGCGGTGGTGCCAGAGGAGAGTCTTGTGAGACAGGAGACGACACGAACAGGGTGCACACTCAGGACCAGACCTGGACGGTGCAGCAAACACCTGACCCGACGCAGCTACC